CAATGCTTGACTACTTTTTTGTGATGTACCACACATTTTACAACACTTCTGTATTATTACAATTGGTGTGTAAGCAAGTAAGACTTGCTGAATGTGTGAGAGTTAAAATTTAAAGTTTTTTTTTCAATCCAGGTATTACATGAAATCTTGAGGTACTGGTTTTATTATTTAATAATTTTATTAAATTTAATAATTTTTTAATAATTAGTATTTCCCGGCTATATAAGCAAATACACCAGAGAAAGTTGTACTTAAGTTTAAGAGTGATGTCTTTGTGTGCTATAATCTGTGCTATATAGGTCTGGTTTGGATAGATGGAATATTGGAATAAGGGGCTGGACAGCAGGCTATGCTAAGCAAAGATGTAGAATGGAACAGAGAGGATAGGCCTGGCTTGGATAGGTGATACACGAGCAGAGAGGATAGGCCTGGCTTGGATAGGTGATACACGAGCAGAGGGGATAGTGCTGGCTTGGATAGGTGATACACGAGCAGAGGGGGTAGTGCTGGCTTGGATAGGTGATACACGAGCAGAGGGGATAGTGCTGGCTTGGATAGGTGATACACGAGCAGAGGGGATAGTGCTGGCTTGGATAGGTGATACACGAGCAGAGGGGATAGTGCTGGCTTGGATAGGTGATACACGAGCAGAGGGGGTAGTGCTGGCTTGGATAGGTGATACACGAGCAGAGGGGATAGGCCTGGCTTGGATAGGTGATACACGAGCAGAGGGGATAGTGCTGGCTTGGATAGGTGATACACGAGCAGAGGGGGTAGTGCTGGCTTGGATAGGTGATACACGAGCAGAGGGGATAGTGCTGGCTTGGATAGGTGATACACGAGCAGAGGGGGTAGTGCTGGCTTGGATAGGTGATACACAAGCAGAGGGGGTAGTGCTGGCTTGGATAGGTGATACACAAGCAGAGGGGATAGTGCTGGCTTGGATAGGTGATACACGAGCAGAGGGGATAGTGCTGGCTTGGATAGGTGATACACGAGCAGAGGGGATAGTGCTGGCTTGGATAGGTGATACATGAGCAGAGGGGATAGTGCTGGCTCAAAAAGAAAAGTTGGAAAATGAGGAGAAGAGATTAGGCCTGGCTAAGCTAGATGAGAAGCAGATGAAGCTGATAGGCCAGGATAGGATAGATGAGACTTGAGCAGAATGGAAGACCTGGCTAGGATGATTGAGACATGAGCAGAGAGGATAGGCCTGGCTAGGATGATTGAGACATGAGCAGAGAGGATAGGCCTGGCTAGGATGATTGAGACATGAGCAGAGAGGAAGACATGGCTAGGATAGAGGAGACATGAGAAGAGAGGAAGACATGGCTAGGATAGATGAGACACGAGAAGAGAGGAAGACATGGCTAGGATAGAGGAGACATGAGAAGAGAGGAAGACATGGCTAGGATAGATGAGACATGAGAAGAGAGGAAGACATGGCTAGGATAGAGGAGACATGAGAAGAGAGGAAGACATGGCTAGGATAGATGAGACACGAGAAGAGAGGAAGACATGGCT